GAGGAGGAGGAAGAGGAGGAGGAGGAGGAGGAGGAGGAGGAGGAGGAGGAGGAGGAGGAGGAGGAGGCTGCAGTCCACTCTCCTTGAAGACTAACACGGAGCAACTTTACGCTCTTAAATTCTGTGCACGGTCAGGAGCTGCATATTGAGCTTGCCTCAGAACCACGTGAACCCCGTCTGTGTAGTTCCTGCGCTGCAGCGCTGTGATTGGCTGTAACGTGTCACGTGGTTACAGCCAACACTTGACACAGAAAGAAGAGACATGTTTTGATCCATAAGTTCAATGCTCAGCTCTGCCCGTGGGTAGAGACCTGGTCGCCAGGCCTGGCTCCAGGGTGGGGCCCGGTAACCCACGTCAGGGCAAGAGACATTGAACTCTTTGTTGTCCTTTGTCCATTTAAGACTTTGGTCTCGCTCTTTGTCTGACCCGTCACCTACAACCTATCTGACTTGGAAGACCCTACCAGGGGCCCTCGCCCCCGACGGCGTAGCTCCTAGGGTCATTCAGGAACACAAACTCCTCCACCACGATAAGGTGGTGATTCCAGGAGGAGCTTATCTTCTGTCGTTCCTCACAAAAGATCCGACGAGCAGCAGAACCTTCTGAACACGATGGAACCTCCTGGTTCTGCTGCTGAGAGGTCTCATGTAGGATCTGTTGTGTTTTCAGGGTGGAGAAGAAGGAGCGAGCCCGTTTAAAGACCGTCAAGTTCAACGCCAAGTCCCGAGAGCGAGGGGTGAGTGCAGCTTCATGGTCAACAGTCACTACCCCCCCGATCGGTTTGATTACAAAAAGATGTTGATTGTTGTTGTTGTTGTCGAGGAGGAAAACAACGTATTGTTAGAAAATATTAATTCAAAGCTGAAAAACTGCAGGAAATTTACAGCCGAGGCGTTTGTTCTGATCCAGTTTCACCTGCTGCATGTTTTCTGAAAAATATAAAAACTGTTGTTGTTGTTGTTGTTGTTGTTGTTGTTGTTGTTGTTGTTGTTGTTGTTGTTGTTGTTGTTGTTGTTGTGTCTGAGCCGCTGCCACCTGATCTCCACCCTCTAATGAGACTAATGTTTACAGCCGTTAACAGCATGTCCCACGCTCTCACCGGTCCCTGAACACAGCACCACCTTCAACCTATGTAACACGTGTCGACCCCCAAAACACCCCCACAAGTCACGCATGACGCCCCCCCCCCACACACACACACCTCCTGCTGAAACGCTTGTCGTGGACTTCCTGCTTGTGGTTTTCCTCTCGGTGAAATAAGAAGTGCTGGTTCTGAGTCCAGGTGGACTCGGGTCGTCTGAAGAACTTGGTTCCGTTTTCAGTCCGACTTCAGCTGAAGGACGGACACGACGAGTCCTTGTCACAATCTGCAGTTTGTAAAGTTCAAAACTCTTCCAAACAGGACAGAAAATGTTTTCATGACATTCATGTTGTTTCTGAGCCTCTACACTTTTCTTTACTTAAATTACCGTATTTTCCAAAATATAGGTCGGTCAGACTATAAGTCTATAAGTCTATAAGTCTAAGTCTATAAGACTATAAGTCTATAAGACTATAAGACTATAAGTCTATAAGTCTAAGTCTATAAGACTATAAGTCTATAAGACTATAAGTCTATAAGTCTATAAGTCTAAGTCTATAAGACTATAAGTCTATAAGACTATAAGTCTATAAGACTATAAGTCTATAAGTCTAAGTCTATAAGACTATAAGTCTATAAGACTATAAGTCTGAGTATAAGACTATAAGTCTATAAGACTATAAGTCTATAAGACTATAAGTCTAAGACTATAAGTCTATAAGACTATAAGTCTATGAGTATAAGACTAT